ACCCTATTGGACCGAGATTTCAGTAAAAACTTTTTAAATCTGAATCTGACTTGAGATATAATATACCATATATTATAATAATAACAAGCTTAGATATTGAACACCGTCGCAGTAAATTACCATATCTGGATGTCGGAATAAAATATCTGTATTTGTTGTATGCAGGGCGCTACAGTCAAGTTCTAAATGTTCCTCGTCTTTTAGGCGAATCCGACATTATTTTCAAAGTCTGAAAAAAAAAATGTAAACGAATGTAATACCATATATTATAATAATAACAAGCTTAGATATTGAGAACCGTCGCAGTAAATTACCATATCTGGATGTCGGAATAAAATATCTGTATTTGTTGTATGCAGGGCGCTACAGTCAAGTTCTAAATGTTCATCGTCTTTTAGGCGAATCCGACATTATTTTCAAAGTCTGAAAAAAAAAATGTAAACGAATGTGTTGTAACGATCTCATGGAACACAATGTATGCACCGTCTGCGTATCATGAAAAGGCGGGTCGGGATTGAATTTTCAGGCAGGACAAGGAAGAACTGGCGACGAGTCATATGAAGATTGTAATAATGTGGTGCGGGACAGAGAGAGAAAAGAGACGACGTGGGACCCAGGGCAGGACCTGGATCCGTAATTTATGACTTTAATCGAAGCCCGAAGACCGTACAACCTCTTTTTTTTTTTTTTGGATTCGGTATGGACTCTTGTCCTTCCGTACATGTTGCAATTCACCCTTCGAATTCCATCGGCATACAAATGAACTTTCTTGGACAGATTTCATATCCCAAAACCCAAAAAAGCACACGAGGTTTGGAATCAAATAATCCAAAAACAAGGTTCATATCCATATTTTTCATGCCGTGCGGATAGACAGATCTTAGTTAGTTCTTCCTTGCAGCAACGGACGAGACCTTGGGCTTCTTGCCCGACGAGGATGAAATTCCATCGGCATACAAATGAACTTTCTTGGACAGATTTCATATCCCAAAACCCAAAAAAGCACACGAGGTTTGGAATCAAATAATCCAAAAACAAGGTTCATATCCATATTTTTCATGCCGTGCGGATAGACAGATCTTAGTTAGTTCTTCCTTGCAGCAACGGACGAGACCTTGGGCTTCTTGCCCGACGAGGATGAGCTTTGCGACCATGACGAAGGCTTGAACACTCCTTTCAACATGTTAGACGCTGCCGATGCGCTTATCTTCCTTCTCTTCGATTCCAGTTCCAGACGTCTCTTGCTTGACGAGGAAGAGTATGCAGACTCCGGGAAGATGGAAGAAGCGTGTATTAGCGCCCTTTTGTCCTTCCGGTTTTTATCGAATTTCGTCGCAAACTTCACCCGTGATGCGGCAGCAGCATCTTCTTCACTCTTTGGAAGAAGCCTTATCCCCAGTCCCATCTTCCTTGATGCAGCTTCTTCTTCCGCTATTCGCTTTCTTTGGCTCTGACACGATGTAAGGGATGTGAGGATGAAACCCTAGAAATTAAAAATAAAAAAAAATAAAAAACCTAACGAATGCAAAAGCTTGAACTCACTCTAAGTTGTGAGCGTAAGGCTCTGTTACGCGAGTAATCATCCGCATGTCTTGCATCGGATATTCTCTGGAGACGAACCAGAACCGGCTCTGCTTCTTTCTTCTTCTGCAAATCCACTTCCTGGTGCTCCAATCGATAGAACGGGTCTGCAAGCTTACCCTTCTCTGTACATAATAAAATAACATAATAGCTCGAATTAACGAACCGTCAAATACAGAAAGACAAGAATGTCGTGACCAACATGATCGTACAGTGAGGTAGAAGTAGAACCAGACCTTCCTCGGCAGGGAGTTCCAAGGTTTCTGCATCTTCGACATCAAATTCCTCTGTCTTCTTCTGGGCGCCGCTTATAATAACATATTCACAGTTCTTTGGGTCTGTCTGAATAACAATCTCTTGTTTGCAGCATGCAGCTTTCATTGTGAAGTTCCATATCTGACAATGACAAGATTTAAAAAAATCTCAGCCATAATTCTAGGAGATTAGACAAGGGAACAGAGAAAAAGACACATCTCATTTCTTGTTTGTGCAATAAAGGTTCCCGAACATGAGCTGTGGGAAAGAACATTCCCAAAACCAGCACTAAAATAGAAAATAGATGGGGATCATACCTTTGTAGAATAATAGTTCCCCACTTGCTTCTTCTCTGCATTGAACCGAACACCCTTGGCAATCATAGAATTGCAGCCTCCACACCATATATTAAAGGGCATTTCGAACCTTAACAATAGGAAAACACAAATCTCAATAATAAGTAAAGAGTTATGGATCTCGATAAGATAATATGTAAGAGCTATGGATCGATCCCCTGAATCTTCATCGTAGATGCCTTAACATTGACCCGAGTTTTTGACATAAACACACAACAAAGAGTTGACTTGATCATTTTATTGATCTTCAGAATTATTTTATCGTATAAATTAAATGCATCATAAACTCCATATATGGATCACCACATCGCAACTTGATCAAAGTCATATGTAAATTCAACACGGAATATTATGCCCTGAACCATAGCAAGAACTCAAAACGCGTTATTAAGGCATCGATTGCATTACCTTATGATCAAAATGCCCTTGTCTAATTTCCTTGCCCTCTCTCTTAAAGGATGCTGGCCTTGGAACTTGTTCAAGGAACCTTGATCGGGAGTCCATTCTGGTGGATAGTAAAAGTTATCTGCCCGGGCAGCTGCAAGAGACGACTGCAGAAGGACCACAATGGAGGAGTTCAGGACAGGAAATTGAAGTTAAAGGAAATCAAATTGCAAGGCCAAACCAAATAGGATTGACCCGACCCGATATATGCAAGAGGCCACGATTCAGCAATAGATTTCACTACAAAGAACCTTGATTTGACAAAGAAACCGAAATTCATCCAATTTCAACGGTATTTTCTTGCATCAAGATCAAATCGATTGATTTTGTAATCCAAATCAAGCATCCTTGTGTATATATACACACAAACTTTATACAATTCCTTGAAGACCGCCGCAAATATTATTATTTCAAAAAGCACCAGTTGATTCTAAATTTTTAACGCAATAACCACAGATCAAGCTAGTCATCTTACCAGCTCGAACAAACCCTAGAACCAAATCCCAGAACCGAAAACCTTAATTGCCACAATAATTATAAACAAAATCAAATCAAACTCCTATTCTGAGAATCATTTAAACCAAAAACTTGTTCGAACCCCAAAATCAAACGCCAAAGAGGCGATAAAGCAATTAACATATAGAACAACGAATCGATAGATCGAAATCGGGAAGAAATTTTACGAACCATCTTGTATTATAGAGATCGAATCAAATCGCTTTGTGTAACCTCCTCCTCCGTATTTTTTCGACGATTGATCGGGAAACAATTTTGGCCCTTCGTCAAATTGGTACCGACGATGAATTTACCCTTTTCGTTCAACACAGAAGGAAGCGAAGTATTCTTACGCTTTTATACCTAGTTGAAACGCCGTCGTTTAACGATCTAATTTATTACATTGAGTCGGTTTAGAAAGTTTTTAAAAAAAAAGGTAAGGAAGAAAGGGTAACACCGTAAAAACAAAAGGTAAAATCTATTAAAATGATTAAATTTATAAAACGATGTAAAACTAATTTTTAAATTTTTTATTTGATAAATTTATTTTATACTTACAAAGTATTATATTATAATTTTTAAATTTGTTTCTTGATATTAGAAAAAATCTTGATAATTTGTTTGAGAATTATAATGATATATTTTATAATTTTGGAAATAAATTTAACAACTAAAAAGTTAGGAATTAGTTTTTCATCTTTTTATAAGTTTAAAAATTTTAATAGATTCTACCCTTAAAAAACCATAAACTTTACAAACTCATCAATTTAAATTTATACAAATAAACTTTTACTTTTTTTACAAAACATCCAAAAATATTATCCATTTAAAAATATATATTTAAAACCCTAACCAGACAAAAAATAAAAAAATATAGAAATTTAATAAAAACGTCTAAAATTATAAATTTTGTAGATTATTATATCGTAAATACATATAAAAATAAATAATATTTTAAATGATAAGCTAAGAAAATAATAAGAGTATTAGACAAAGAATATGAGTAATATGTATAGAGAGAAGTTACGAAAGATACGTTTAAGATGATTTGCATATATATATAACGGGAGTCAATAGTTGTTTTTATTAGATAAGCGAAGAACATATGAAATGTGGGTGAAGAGAAAAGTTAACGATAGAATTTAAACTTATCATAAAACGAATCATTAGAAATGTTTTGAAATTATTGTAAATTATGAAAGATTGACTTCAAACCAAAATGAGTAAAAAGAAGAATTTATACGACTGGCCCAAATAAATATGAGATTATTACGATGTTGATGTTGATGTTGATAAATATATAAATTAAGAAAAATTATGGTTTTAAATATTTTTATAAACACTACAAGAAAAACTGTAATTTGCGACAGAAAAATCTGTCGCAACATGAAGAAGAATATGTCGGTAAAAAAAATTTGCGACAGATTACGACCGATGATTATCGGTCGCTAAATCGTTGTCGCAAAATCTGTGTAGTCGTGATTCTGTCGTAACTTTGTGACAGACAGATCTGTAGGTAGTCGGTCGCACATATACGACAGATGGCTATATGTCGGTAATCTGTCGCAAATCGGTGAATCCAGATCTGTCGCATATTGCGACAGAAATATGAGTAGGTATTCGGTCGCAACATAACGACAAAATATATCGGTCGCACTCTGTCGCAATATACTGACCAAATATATTGGTAGGTATTCGGTCGCAACATTACGACAAAACTAATCGGTCGCACTCTGTCGCAAATCTATTTCGTCGATAATTCATAGTAATTACATACAAATGAGTTTTTCAGCGAAACTTCTTGGGTAGCCTCTACATCTCATACTTATGTTGTGGTATAAATCTCATTTCATTTGGACATGAAATGTTCGATGGATTTTATTTTTTCGATTTTCAAGTTATCCGGATTGTCTGATCCGGTTGTTTGGTCCGCCGGTGTCGTAGAAGGTCCGACTCCGGGCTGAGGAGTCAGAAATGGGTTGAACGGCATCTCTTGCGCCGTTGGTGGGTCGTCTCGAGGAGGAAATAGCCGGGCGAAAAGCGTCTCGTAACACGCAATCCGTGCCTCAGCTTCTTCAAGTCTAGCAATCTTCCTGCGATCGTCCTCGAACTCTTGAATCTTTTTCTTCAACAGCTCGACCTCCTTAGTGAGTGAGACGTGGTGACCGATCGATGTTGCATCCGGATGACCACCACCCAACTGAGTCGCCATTGCACCGACACCGTATATACGTCCTTTGGCATCGGATTGGACAACCTACGAAATCAAAAGTATACGTCAATTAAAATAATATAAATTAACCTCCAGATAGAGGCTGTTGATTTCTGCTGGTGAAAGTTGGGTCGATCCACAACTCTCCTCTAACTGGGAGAGACGATCGGTGATCTTTGCCTGAATCGCATCCTCGATTTCCTGAACGCGATCGCTGATATAAGTACCGTCAGCTCGACGGTGAGTCTCCTGCAGCAATCGCAACGCAGAAGGTTCTTCACCTTCCTTCTGCGTCTGCACCCAAAAAATTTAATTAAAAAAATTCAAAAAAATTTTAAAATAAATATTTATTTACTTACTATCTCATGGGCGACTCGAACAAATGATCTTCGTCCTGCAGTGTGGGTTGGAGGTGCGCGTTCGACCTCCGCTCGGGATCGTCGATTGCTTGAGAATGTTTGACTCTTCTGCGTTCCTTCTTCTAAATCCCAATATTCAACTAGCTGATCGTAGATCGCCGTCGATATCCATGCATAAATGATGCTGTCTTTTCGGATTGATATAACATTTTCAAACGATCTGTTATAGGCATATAAAACATTCTCTTCAAAAGAATTAACTTGTCTTTTTTTGAAGCTTTCTGGCGTGGTCGATATCTGTCTTTCCCGCAGAAACGACATTCCATCAATTCTGCATTTTCTTTCCAAAAAATCATACAGTTGTCTTCACAAACATCAATCTTCCGGTAAGGTAGACCCAACGTACGCATCAGACTCTTCGTCTCATAATATGATTCTGTTGCAGTATTACCTTCCGGAAGATACTGTTTAAACATCTGACTGAAGCCATCCATACATCTCTCCGGAAGATTGTAGTCAGTCTTCATATTCATCAATTGTGAAGATAATGATAATCTTGACAGCCCTTGTACGCAACCTTCATATATCGGAGTGTTCGCCGTGTTAAGCATATCATAAAATCTTTTCGCTTCAACATTTGGCTCTTCTTCCATATATGGAGAAGGAGCAACGTTGGGAAATGCATCATTCACCATCTCTGCATATAGATTTCGGTCTTGATCTTCTTGAAAGATCGGAGGTAGCGACGTGTTTTCCACAAGTTGTTCTTGCATTTGTGAAACACGTGATGATGACGACGTATCATACGTTTCTCCATGAGCCAGCCAAACATAATAGTTTGACATAAAACCTCTTCTATAAAGGTGCTTACACACTTCATACTGACTTCACCATCTTCTATTCTCGCATTTTGAGCACGGGCATGGTAACTTCGAACTCTCAATATACGACGTTTGACTTGTTGCAAACGCCATAAAATATTGTAATCCTTCAGCAAACTCACTCGAGATTTGATTAGAAGAATCAAATCTATTATATATCCACATTCTGGATGCAAAAGACATTTTTTTGTAAATAATTTTTTTTTCGGTAGTAATTTTTTTTTCCTATCTATGCATGGTCATCGCGCGGCGAGTATATAGAAGAAACGTTGCGACGGAATTGCGACCAATATTTTCTGTCGTAAAATGATTTGCGACCGAAATACGACAAAAATGCGACAGAAGTTAGGTGACATACCATTCACGTGTGTACCTAATTTTGCGACACAGCGGTGAGTCGCACCTCGGTCGCATATATTGAGCGACTCCTATAGTATGTCGCATATCGGTCGCATAATTTCCGCGACGCATAATATCTGTCGCAAATGTGTCGTACACGTGATCCGACCGAACATATCTGTCACAACAATCTGTCGTAAAGTATCTGTCGTTTTCCGTCGTCTTTCTGTCGCAAATATGTGCGACAGATATATCGGTCGTAGTCGGTCGAAAAGTTGCGACAGATTTTGCGTCCAAGTCCGACAGAGATATTTTTCCGAGATTGTGTCGCTTTTTAGTCGCGGTCTGTCGCAAAATATGTTGCGACGGAAATTTCGGTCGCAAAAGGTGTCGCAAATTACAGTTTTTCTTGTAGTGAAATTTTTCATTTTTGTTTGAATTTTTTTGATGATCGAGTCTTTAAGTGTATTCTTATTAGTAGGAGGGGTGTCAATCGGACCACATCGGCCCAATCCAGCCCGAGTCCACACTCTGAGGGTTTCAGGCTCGGATTCGGGCCGACTTGATTTTTTGGATCTATATAACCAAATCTGAAGCCCGATTCTATAAGTTTCGGACTCGGATCGGGCCATGTAGGACTGTGTCGGCCCGTAAATTCATTTGTAGTTATATTTTTTTTCTTTTCTTCAATTGTTTTTTTGAAAAAAAATATCGCGCTTTCGAGGTGGACTGAATTGAGTCTGAAGCCCGAATTGAGTTTAGTCCGAAAGCCCGCTAAATTCCTTTGTAATTCTATTTTTATTTATTTTTTTAAACGAAAGTTCATACTAAAATAAAAGACAATTAGCGGGTTTTCACGTACGAAAGTCCAATATTTTTTTTTTAAAAAAAATCTTAATAAAAAAAAGAAAAAAATTAACTTTACAAAGCAATTTAAACGGGACGGGCTTCGAGTTTGGTTATATAGGGGCGGTCTTCGAGATTGGTTATATAGTCATGGAAGATGAACACTTCCCATTACACATATTCATATTCAGTTCTCGGTTTAAACTCGAATACTATGACGAAATACTGTAATTTCGTTCCATCAGAAAGTTCATTGCATTTTCATCAAATCTACAATTTTTGTTCCAACTGCTGAGAATGCCAATCTACATAAATTTTGGATTCGATAAAACTGTAATTTTAAAATTTTAAACCAAATTAGTAGAGTGTAATCCTATGCTCATTTTATAATGGATATAAATGTATACAGTATTTATTATTATAGAAAAAAACATGAAAGTGGGGGCCATTTCTGTGAATTTTTTTAAAAAATTTTGGGATTGTTATTAATTCGGAAGCTTTCAATGCAATAGAAGTTAATGACATTTTAATGAATTGAAAATGAAACGTGGGTGCATTTTTTTCATACACAACTTGAACGCGCGCAGTCCATTTATTTTGATAGAGCTTATTGTAGGATTTATTATATAAATGTTGTATTATCCTTAAAAATGTTGGATATTCAAAACTATATTCGTAAAATTAACATTAATTATTCCCTTCTTTAGGTGGTTTGTTATGAAATAATTTAGGCTCTCGTTACACGACTATTTCAATTTGTTCTCTCGCCAAAACCAACGTTCGCTTTTAAGCCAAACAAAGTCAATGACATTATATACATACATACATATATATATATATATATTTGTGTTAGGTTACTCAATAAAACTATTTTTTACTTTTAAATATAGGAAAGTCAGGCAATAAAAAGACTCTGTATAAAGTATATTAATAAATTTTGAAAACCATTTGCACGATGGAAAATTCAATAAGTCAATCTTTAAGGTCTTGTGTTAATATCGGATATATATATATATATATGTGTGTGTGTGTGAAAATGAAAATGTAGAAACAGATAAGCATTCGCCATACTCTAGATACAGAGTTTTTTTTATAGGTTTTATAGAGTTGAACTCTATTTATAATTTTTTTATGAATATTTATTAATATTAGTCCAATTTCCGAGTTATGTTTAAATGATGATGATGATGACGATAATAATAATAAATAATAATAATAATAATAATAATAATAATAATAATAATAATAATAATAATAATAATAGTATTTTTTTTATACTTGCTTCAAATTCACGTAAAAGATCAAATAACATTTTTTTTCCATTCCTCCTCGAATTTTATGATATTTATAAGTCAAAAGCAGACCAAGGTGGCAATTTTAATTTTTATGTATGGCGTATAAATGCATGCGTGCGTGTTTGTTGTGTGTGTAGATATGCATATATGTAGATATTAGATAATATGCATTAGTAATTATTGTGAAAAATGGTTGTGGATTAAAAACAAGGAGAAGGGCTCTCACTTTTTGCAACGTGTACATGCGTTTTTTTCGATTTTAAAAAGTGTATAAACTATGGTAAAAATTTAAATTGAAGGTTATAATTGTAGGTTCATCAGTAAGTCCGGAATTACATGATGAATCGTGAAACGCCAACTGCCAACTCTCACTATTTTTTTTTCTTTATTCCTGTAAAACATTCACGCAAGCAAAAGATCTCGATGCAACCATGTCATATATATATATATATATATATATATATGTAAATGTATATATTTTATTATTTTCCCATAATTTAGGGATTTTCTCCATGTATATTCGTTTTTAAAAATCATTATTTTTCTAAATGTTATTATGATATTATATTGAGAATTCTGAAGAGTTTTTATCTGTACATAAAGTTTCAATAATAATGTATTTATATTGACTGAGTTTATCTATTTTTTTACTATACTAGTATATATAAATTCTAGTGACAACAAATTAAATTGTATGCTCGAACCCATTCTGTTATCAATACATTTATTAAAATTATAGAGATGTGGTTATTATTACTATTTTTTCCAACCCTAATTCTTTTTTTTTTTTGCTTTACGACGGTTGGCTCGATGGACCGTTACATGCATATAGATAGAGATGGTAAAATTGGGCTATAATTACGAATTATACACAACCATTAATGGAGATTGATGTAATTGGAAATTTAGCATTTAAGAGCTTACCCAACTAACATTTCTGATTCTACCAAAACCTGAATTTGTCTAATTTGTATTTTTATTCCAAAGACATTTTATTCTCGTGGACTTTTAATTTTTTACAGCATGGAAAACAGCCTTAATTATGGGCGTTAATGCAACGTGATAATTGTAAGTATAGCCCGCATCCACCAATAAATAAATAAATAAATAAAAAACAATTTCAAAAACATTAAATAGAAAATCCAAAGGCTCTCGAGCGTTCGCTTCAACTCACTTCCCCCCGGGATTTCCGCCCCACTTTATACACGCATTCACCAAAGCACACGCAGTTTTATCGATTCATTAGTTCATTTTCAGTCCAAAAGAACAGAAGGGGGCAGAAAACAAACAAGAAGCCTCTGTTTGGTTCGGAGTCTCGTACCATGTCGCGTGGAAACATTCTGATGTGTCTGGTTCTGTATCTGATGGTGGGTTCTTTTCCGGCGGCGATGGTCGGAGCCACGCCGGAGAAGACGAATGAAATGGGTTTACACGGAAAGGGTTTCAAGTTCGGAGATGGGATTTTTGATTACTTGCCGAAAGGCGTGCCGATTCCACCTTCTGGTCCTTCTAAGAGACACAACTCCATGGTTGACTCTCTTCATGATTGATTTGTTCTCTCTTTCTTGTTTTTCTTTTTTTTAACGTACGTATTCCAAAATTTTTGGAGATGACAACCCCTACACAACTTCAGGGTTCGATTCTTCCTGGTGTCAAACTTCCCCTGAACCGACCAGTTTCGGCTGGTTTACCTGTTCGGCGTGGTTTGTTGGCTATTGCGTTGAGCAGTTGAATTTACCGTCCACGATACCGTGTCATTCGTCTGACCCCTTGGGTTGTGAGGCGTTGCGGAGTTCGACCCGAAGGGTCGAGGATGGGTTTTCACCGTTATCAAAAAAAAAAAATTGAAGATTTTGTTTTAAGTTAGAGGTTTTGGATATCGGGTTTAGATCGTAGGTCTTTTTCTTTTACGGTGTTTTATTATATACAAATATTACATTTGATCATGTTATCTTTAAGGAAGAGATGGGTGATCAAGATCAAGAGCAGCAAAATCTTGAATTCAAGATTAAACCTTCCCAAAAGAGAGAGAGAGAGAGGAGGGAAAATCTTGAATTCATTGTGGTGTGTTGTCTGTAATTGTAAAAAAAGTGTCAAGGGTTTAAAAAACTTGTTTGGTAATTTAAGTTTAGATTTTATATCACCAGATTAGATGATACAGATCGAATCATCTGTAATTATTGTCTTCAATTTTTCTAATAAAAAAATCGTTTACTTGAATTTGCGAGGTTATAAAAGTGGGATAAAGATATATTTATGGAGGTAGAATCTGTATTGGGATAATTTAGAAGAACGTCTGATGATGATGATGATGATGATGATGATAAAATGGTATATAGCTTTGTACTTCATTGTCCATCGGTTACCATAAAATTATAGAAAATAAAAAAATATTAAAAAATCTAAGCATATTTACAAATTTTGACTTAATAATGATAAAAAATACCTGATTTACATTCAGCCAGTAGCGGACCTAGAACAAATTCTAAGTGGGGGCAAAATTAAATTTAGCATGTGATAAATATAATTTACAATAGAATATTTATAAATTTTGGTTAAAATGTGATCAATTTTATAAATGAATTATAATTTTTTAATCAAACCAATGGGGGCATATGCCCCCATTCTTCTCCAATTGGGTCCGCCCATGTACATATATGTATATATGTATGTATGTATATGGGGCAAGACATATATTTTGGTGCTAATCATATGGTTCCATGTATGTGAGAGATTAGGTGTCAAATAAAACCTATCTATGTGTGTGTGTTTTTTTTTTAATAATTCGAAAGCTCAGTAGATCTTTGACCCGACTGTATATCCCAAAAAATTGGAGAAACTTATGTGAATGTCTAGATTTTTGACCCGACTATATATCCCAAAAAATTGGAGAAACCCATATGAATATCTCTCTCTAGATGAAGACTCGAACCCGGATTAGGAAAAAAATTATTCTTTTTTTACCGGTTGAATCATGGATTGGAAAAAAGTTTTAGTCTTTTTTTACCGGTTGAGTTATCAATCTTGGATACATGTATGTTTTTCTATGTTGCATATAATAATAAAATGGATTAGATAAATAATTCAGTTGTCTTTTCCTAATTAGAAAGCTACTCGAAATAATTAATTATAATGATATTCAGTTTTTTAAGATAAAAAGGCTCTAAAAAACCCGAAGTTCTTTGTGTATGATCATTATAAAAAAAAAAATTGTTTATGGGTTTGAAATACAAAGATGTTTTTTTCTTGTGTTACACTATCGTTGTAACGAAAAACACAAAGGCCCACTTGGCAAGTCGCTTTCTGCTTGTCAGCGAGCTATTCTTTATCCCTGCCCAGAATAACTTTATCCCGAACCCGGGCATTTCTTCTCCTATGGAATGGAACCCCATATCAGACGACGGCGTGCAACGTTTTAAAAGAAACATTCGAGTTGAATTGGCGGGTTTGTACATCACATCTGTGGACACAGAAAAAGCTATAATAGAGTGATATTTTGATTGAAGAATAAAAATTCTATATAAATGAGTTACAGAAATTCCATTATTGAATTTACAAATGTTCCATGTCCGATGCTATAAAATAAGAGAGTATCAAGACAATACCCTGTCTTTTCTGGACTTGCTAATGCTCATCAAAGCCTTGAACATGACAACACCGCTCTT